GGTTGTGTTCAGATGTATCTAAACTCAGCATTTTTATCCTGTTTAAGATGAACACTGTACAGTCTCAAATGTTTTAGTCGTCAGCAATTTTAGGCCACTATAGCTCTGACATTTACAACTGTTTTCACTGAATGATATAAATGGAAACACAGACAATCCACGAATCTAAGTTGAAACTGCTGTTGCGTGAGTCCCACAAGAGCACCAAGTGCATACTTGTGTTAAATTAATCCAATGTTAAAACAGGTGGCATGGTGGCCATCTGTGTGGACTCAAACACTGGCGTTCTCCTCTCTAGGCTGGAATGAACTTCTCTCCTCCCTTTGCTCACTTAGATCTCCTTAGATCTCCAATGAACCTTAGATTAAGTCTCCTTTCACTATCACACTGCAACATGTTCATTAGCTTCAATCTCTTCATCATTGTTTCTTTTTTCTTTTTCTTTCAGTGAGTCAAGAAGGGAGAGAGTTTGTTGTGTTAGCCAGATCACTCTCAGTGGTAGAATAATCCACAAAGGAACAAAACAATGGAGAAGAGGGGATGTGTGTGGAGGAGGGTTGGGTCATTTAGGTCTCCTGGTCTCCATGGCAATTTTATTGTGTGTGGGGATGGGAGGTAATGGGGTTGAGAAGTTGAAGGTCATAGTTGAGGGGATAGCTACATGCTTTATAGACGACTTGAAGAAATAATGTGCTGACTGGCCTGTGATATGTGGCGATGTATGTTAAAGAAGAACTAGGTAATAAAAAGTGAAGAGCAAAAGGAGGTATCAAAAAAGTTGAAGTAGAAACAAGGAGCAAAGTGTGCTCATGTTGTTTGGTTTCAACAGATGTTCTTGAGGACCTAAGCGAGGATACTACAGAGCATCTTCTGTTGGAGCTGGGCAACGTGCTGAAACTGCGCTGCGACATGAGCACCCGGCCTGGCATGGCGGTGAACTGGTACAAGGAAGGAGTCCGAGTTCTGCCCACACCCCGTATCCAGATCCGTGGTGCCATCATGGAGATCACAGATGTAACATATGAGGATTCAGGCATTTATGTTTGTGTTTTCCGGGGAACCAAAGAGCCTCTGAGAAACTTCACCATCACTGTAGCAGGTAAGGACATAACGCTGTTGTTTTATTGTTGTAAGAGTTGTGTTTTACAAAGCAAATAATGTCAGTGTGAGCTTTAATCTGTACTAACATGGTCACCTAAAGCAGGAAGGTGAGCACCTGCTCATGCAGAGGACTTTCATATACGTCTGGCAGAATGTACAGTATGTTACTTTACATTAGAGCTGAAATGATTATAAACTGCTCAAAAAAATGAAGGGAATACTTAATCGTCACAGTATAACAGCAAGTAGTTAAACTTCCAAGATACCTTATCAAACTATCTATTTAGGAAGGACAATGATTGTGAATTAATTTCACTGGCTTTGATGCAAATGAAAGTGACAACAGGTGCAATGGAGAGGCAAAAGCAAGACAACCTCCAAAAGAGAATGGTTTTCCATGTGGTGGCCACAGAAAAATGCTCTCTTCTTGTCCTTCCTGACTGATTCTTCTCACGTTTTTCTTGTGTCCTTGTCACTACTGGTAGCATGAGGCAATACCTCCAACCCAATTGGGTTGCACAAGTAGTTTAGTTACTCCAGGATGACACATCCACACGTGCAGTTGCATGAAGGTTTGCTGAGTCTCCCAGTACAGTCTCAAGAGCACAAAGAAGACACCAGGAGACCAGCAATTACACTGGGAGAGCTGAATAAGGCTGTAGAAGGGCAACACTCCAGCAGCAGGACCGGCATCTGCTCCTTTGTGCAACAAGAAACAGGAAGAGCACTATGAGACCCCTACGAAATGACCTCCAACAGCTACTGATGTGCATGGTTCTGACCAAACTGTCAGAGACAGACTTCATGAGGGTGGCATGAGGGCCTGATGCCACCACCAAGTACCGCCACAGGCTGTCCAGGAGCTCACTGATGCCCTGATCCAGGTTTGGGAGAAGATCCCCCAGGACACCATCCACGACTCATCAGGAGCATGCCCAGATGTTGTTAGGAGTGCATACAGGCACAGGGGGCCATACACACTTCTGAGTCACATTATGCAGTGATTAAATTCACACAACTTAAAACCTTTAATTTCACTTTTTCACTTTGATTTTCAGTGTAATTTTGAATACAGCCCAGTCAGGCAGAACTGATGAGGCCTCTTGGATGAGAGGTGAAATGTATTCGACCTAAAAACCTAGTCCAGTTTTTTTTTCAGTTTCCATCTTTATGTTAGTTTGTTCTGAACAAACTATGCAATATACATTGATAAAGGTTTTCAATTTGAATAATTCTGTCAACAAGATCTGATGTGTGATTTTAAGTGTTCCCTTAATTTTTTGAGCAGTATATAATGATGATTAAATTTATTTATTAGTCCACGATTTAAGTTAAAATTCAATCAGTTGCAGCTACTCAAACAAGAATATTTGATGCTTTTCTTAGTGTTTGAGTGTAGTAAATTGATCTTTCAGCTGATTATTGGGACAGCTGATAGAACAAAGTAAGCTGTTTGGGTCAGCTTGGGGCTTAGGAAAATATGATGAGCTTTGTCTAACATTTTGCAAACCAAATAATTCATTAATTAATTTGTAAACTCGTGATGCGAATGACATATTTTGACGTCCAGTGCAGAATTAGTTTCACATACAGTTACAAAAGTGGCAATTTTGTTCATATCATTCTTATTTTTCATGTTTCCAGATTCACAAGGGTCAGGAGATGATGACGAGGACAATGGCTTGGAGGACTCATCGACTGACATCGAAAATGACCAGGTTTACTTCTCCAGAGGTGTGCTGGTTTGCTTATTACCTGCAATCCTTACGGATTTACTACAGCTTGACCTCCAGGCATCTTCAGGGCATTCTGACTAACAGCTTATTGACTGGTCTTTGTCCATTCAGGTCCCTATTGGACTCACACCCAGCGTATGGAGAAGAAGTTGTACGCTGTTCCTGCAGGCAATACGGTGAAGTTTCGTTGCCCAGCCATGGGCAGCCCCATGCCAAGCATCCGCTGGCTCAAAAATGGACGAGAATTTAGAGGAGAGCATCGCATCGGGGGCATCAAGGTGAGAGTGGCGGCAGAATTATACTTGGGTTTATTCAGATAATCTGGTGAAACATTGACTGTCAGCAGTTTTTCTGAAAGAGAGATTTGCTTCATCCTGTCACCCTAATCATAAAGTCTTGAAGACAAGCAGTTGACAGAAAATTAGGAACTGAAACATGTGGAGTCCAAGCTGATGTTATTTTATGTTGTTTGGCCAGCTGAGGCACCAGCACTGGAGCCTGGTGATGGAGAGCGTTGTTCCTTCAGACAGAGGAAACTACACCTGCGTGGTGGAAAACAAATATGGCTCCATCTCTCACAGCTACATCCTCGATGTCCTCGGTAAGACATGAAAGTGTATAATTTAGCACTGTCTGGACTTGATCTAAGAGTCTGTGTTGTTACTTGTGATTCGGTTTTTCTGACAGATTTGACAGATTTATGTCTTTGATGTTAAAAAAGAAACAGTTTGACTGATTAATGATGTAATGGCTGGTAACGTACTGTTAGACTGTACATACCATTAATATATGTTGAAGTATGATGTAAATATTCTTGGTGATCAATTAATGGTATTTATGGCAGTAACTCCTTTTAATCAGCACATCAAAAAGCACCATGCATTCACATAAAATCCCCCAGTGTGAAGGATAGAATACACAGAGGGGTGAGCAGGGGTGCCTGGTGTTGGCCTTGGCAGGTAGGATGTGGACGGTCAGGTGTCTGCCCCAGTTTTCTACCTGACCTGTGACAGGAGACTGAGGAGGACTGTGGTTTATTTGTTCATTTGTTCACTGTCCACTCACTGTGGGCTCAGTTTCTGTCCCTATCAATGTGGGGTGAAAACTAATGAGACAACTAACGAGATCAGAGAGTGAGAGCACTCCCAGCTCAAAGAGACCCAGGCAACCAGCTGACAAAGAGCCACACTAATGGAACCAATCTTCTTCCCAAAATGACATTTCCTGCTCTTTTGCCAACATACAAACACATTATTGACAACTGCTCACCATTTCTGAGATTTTCTTTAGAGACAGTGTTAACAAATTAGTCATGTTCGATGGATGTTAAATGGACAAATAGCTGGATGTTTTAGCCATAGTTAAGCAGGATTTCATGTTTGTCCTGCCTATATGGCCTCATATTGACTCTTGAAGACAGAGACTCTGTCAGCATTAAACTATGCTTTACAGATCAGTTAAATCTCTCTTAAGTCTCCATGTCACCTTTCAGCTGTTGCCCTGAAAAGAGGGAAATCTCTGACTGGTTTTACTTAATGCTATTTGTCAGTCTTTGCTCATCTCTCCATTTGTTCGATTTCTTTGTTTACCCTTACAGAGCGCTCCCCCCACAGGCCCATCCTGCAGGCTGGTCTGCCAGCCAACACTACAGCAGTGGTGGGCAGTGATGTCCAGTTCCACTGTAAAGTCTACAGTGATGCCCAACCTCACATTCAGTGGCTCAAACATATTGAAGTAAATGGCAGCCGCTATGGTCCCGATGGGATACCCTATGTTAGAGTCCTCAAGGTTGGTGACATGATTAAACACAGTATAAACACAGATGTGAAGCAAACACATTCTGTGGAACAGGAATTTTTCAGCATTTTCCTTTTGCAACAGTTTCTGCCCAGTTAGACTGAGAACCAGCCAAAATATGTCATCTTGTACAGAATTAACTCTGTAGGAGTTAGTGTCACTCAAACTTACCTTAAACTATGTACCAGGTCTGAGCTCTATCTACAACATTGGAACATACCTCTTTATCTGTCCCTATACATCTTTTTTGTAATAGAGTAACTTAATTTCTTGACAACAAAAGAGTCAAAATAAAAAATAGTGTTTGGATTCTATTTAACACTTAAAGTAGGTGCTTCACGGTAAATGCTTCTAAATGGTCAGTTGTTGGTTTTTACTCAAGCAACTTTACAAAAATATGCAGTGTGACTGTAGCCATTATTCTAAAATGTGTTACTGTATCATTTTCACACCGCAGTCCTCAGTCAGCACCTGACAATGGACTTGGTGCACAAGCCTGATTTTTGCAAAAGGCAACAGAGCTTTAAAGAATGTATAACAGATATATTGTGATGATTGTTGTATGCTAACTTTTGTCACTTTCTGCATCTGCATTGCGCAGACTGGCAGCCTGAACATGTCAGAGGTGGAGGTGCTCTACCTGTCTAAAGTCACCATGTACGATGCGGGAGAGTACACCTGTCTGGCCGGAAATTCAATCGGTTTCGCCCACCAGTCCGCTTGGCTCACTGTCCTCTCAGGTAAAGGATGAAGGCTACTGAAGGCTGCATGACTTGGTGCTGGATCTGACTTTTAATTTTGCAAAAGGTTCTCTTCCTCTTATCAGTGTGAAGTAACAGTATTGTTGTACCGCACAAAGCAGCTGATACTGGATTTTGATCATAACTAACTTTAACATTAGTACATGAACATTTGTCACATGCTGAGGATTCTTCTGTAAAAGCTATCCCTTTTGTCTATAGAGGAGGAAGCTGCAGACGCTATGGAAACCATGGAGACCAAGTATACCGACATCATCATTTACGCCTGTGGGTTCTTGGCTCTGATCATGGCCATCATCATCGTGGTGTTGTGTCGAATGCAGGTCCAGCCCAGAAGGGAGCCATTTGATGCTCTTCCTGTCCATAAACTTTCCAAGTTTCCTCTTCGCAGACAGGTACAGGGCATGGTGAATCATGTGAACTCAATTCTGCTTGCTCTTAAAAGATGCTTAGGCAAGTAATCAACTATGACTTAAGACTGAGGTATGAATGAAAGTCCCATCATCTGACTGTCTCTTAAATCTGAAGTGTTTATAGCTATTCTTAATGGCCACACTTGAAACTTTCCTGTATGTTGCTGGTTGCTAACTAAATTCTACCTTTCTGCATCTCTTCCTTCAGTACTCAGTGGAGTCAAACTCATCAGGGAAGTCCAGTGCATCTCTGATGAGGGTCGCTCGTCTTTCATCCAGCTGCTCTCCCATGCTGGCCGGAGTCATGGAGTTTGAGTTGCCCCACGACCCAGACTGGGAGTTCCCCAGAGAGAAGTAAGTCATGTGTGGTGTAGAATCACTTGGCTCACATTCTGTAAAGATGGTCATGATACTTTCAAAAGAAATGATACCTGCTCTTATGTTTGAACTTACCATGAAGTGATTTGTTTGGAATTTCCTACTAAGTTTAGTTTGGCTGCTGGGATCTGGACGCATCTAAACACTGTAGCTCTCGCGTCATGTGGGCGGAATCAAGCCTGCAGTCCATTTTTGACTCTGCCCAACCTATGATTTAAGAAACTAGAGCCCAAAATTATGGATTTGTATGGTTTTCACTTGGACACACTTATTTTCATTACCTCTCGATCTTTCTGTTTCTAGTTTAACACTGGGCAAACCTCTAGGAGAAGGCTGCTTTGGACAAGTGGTCAGAGCTGAAGCCTACGGCATCAACAAGGACTGTCCTGACCAGGCCGCCACTGTGGCAGTTAAGATGCTTAAAGGTAGAAAAGAAATGTTACAGGCACAAAAATACCTCAAGAAATTAGATAAAGTCTGCTGTCTGTGAGGAAGGCATGCTTGTCTAAATAAGAAGTATTTATCCCTCAGATGATGCCACTGACAAGGATCTGGCAGATCTCATCTCAGAGATGGAGATGATGAAAGTGATGGACAAACATAAGAACATCATCAACCTGCTGGGAGTCTGCACACAGGATGGTGAGTTTCTGACATATGACTCAGGCCTTCTTGTTTGTTGTTTTATTTCTGTTGATTATACTCTTTATGTGTTTTGTTCGGAGATTTAACTAAAGGTTGGATGTGCTCTAGCTATCTGTCAGCTTGTGAGCAGTCAAACTAAAGCATTGGCTCTTGAGTCAATGTTTAGAGCAAAGGACAGCATCCTCCTTGTTAACACAAATTATGACAAATACACACCCCTGTTTTGGAGAGAAAACAATCTCATTCAATTACCTTCCTCACCAGCCACCTTACTGTTGTAAATCTTGACAAACCAACCTAATTTAGTGGATGCTCCAGTCATGATGGGCCAAGTCTCTAGGCTAAAACAACAATAGAAACACCCCATCCTTCATCCTGTTTGTGTCCCCCCCAGGCCCCCTCTATGTGCTAGTGGAGTATGCCTCCAAAGGCAGTCTGAGGGAGTACCTGCGGGCCCGGCGACCCCCAGGGATGGACTACACCTTTGATGTGACCAAGATGCCTGAGGAGCAGCTCACTTTCAAAGACCTGCTGTCTTGTGCCTATCAGGTGGCCAGAGGGATGGAGTACCTGGCCTCTAAAAGGGTATGTTCACTTTAAAGAGTGGTGAGAACCTGTAGTAGTCATGTATCTAACAATAAAGCTGAATCCATGCTGTGCTCAAATCTTCTCTACAAATGTTTCATGGATGTAGGAGGTGAAAGGATTCATGTGTCAACACAAACATAAATAAAGGTTCTGCAGTGTGATAATATGGCCGGTCACATCTTTAATTTCGTTATAGTGGCAAAATTCTACTTTGTTTAGTGATGGAACTTTGTGCCTAGAGAGTTGCTGCTAGTACTTTCTGTTTTTAGTAGTTGAGAAACTTGCTAGGAAACCAAGCTTTAATGCTGATATAATTCAATTAATAGATCAGGTGACTGAAAAAAGTTGATAAAGTAATCAATTAAAGAGTTTATCAAGCAAGAAAGTCCAAACTGATTCCTATGTCTGTCCCTTTCTTTCTTTTCTTCCCTTTCCCACCCCCATGTTTCAGTTCCTTTCATTTTCCCAGCATGCCCTCTGTCTGTGTGTTTCTTGTCAACACGTCTCTTTGTCTGCCAGCTGCTGTCTCAGA